CAAGCGAAAGCCAAGAGCAGCCACTTGCAGCCACTTGTGTGAATGTCTGGTTTCGTCAGCGAGCACCTTCTGCTGTGGCTTGTATCCTTTTGAACTGTTCAAGTGTGTGTGCGTGTGTGTATATATATATATATGTGTGTGTGTGTACACCAATAAGTATACAAATCTGCGTGTGTGTATGTGTGCATGTATATGGCGTGAAAGTGCCTGCTACCTTGGAACTTTTTGCGCTTCTTGACTGCTTTCACCGTTTTGAGACCGTCTGCCGCTTTGGCTGGTATCCCTTTGAACTGCTGAAGTATGTATATATGTATATGTAAATATGTACATAGATATATATATTATATATATTATATATATTATATATATATTATATATATTATATATATATATTATATATATATTATATATATATTATATATATATTATAAATTATATATATATTAAATATATGTATATATATGTACACATAAATATAAGTATATTATTTATGTGTGTGTGCACGCATGTATATGTTCTAACAGCGCCTGCAATTTTCTTGGTTTTTGCGTTTGTTGCGGCTTTTGAATTTTTGAATTTTCAGAACTTTCCTTGGTTTTTGCGTTTTTTGCGGTTTTTGAATTTTTGAATTTTCGGATTTTTTCTTGGTTTTTGCGTTTTTTGCGGTTTTTGAATTTTTGAATTTTCAGATTCTTTCTTGGTTTTTGCGTTTTTTCCTGAACAGAAACCAACTTGGATGTGCGGCTCCATGTTCTGAAAGCAAAATACTGGTGAGAAGACTGGGAGGAGGGCCAGGCCGATGGGAAATACAGCCATGACATACCACGCCTAACTTTTTGGGGAAACGCTCGATACGACCATGAATTTGTGCAAAACGACTGACTTTTGTAAGGAGTTGGAAGGCCCAGGTTGAATTTTTGGATTTTCAAAAATTTCTTGGTTTTTGCGTTTTTTTAATTTGAATTTTTGAACTTTCAGATTTGTTCTTGCTCTTTTTTTTTTGCGTTTTTTGAATTTTTGATTTTTTGAATTTTCAGAAATTATCTTGGTTTTTGCGTTTTTTGCGGTTTTTGAATTTTTGAATTTTCAGAAATTTTCTTGGTTTTTGCGCTTTTGAATTTTCAAAAGTTTTCTTGGTTTTTGCGTTTTATTCGGGTATTGATTTTTTGGATTTTCAGAAATTTTCTTGGTTTTTGCGTTTTTTGAATTTTTGAATTTTCAGAAATTTTCTTGGTTTTTGCGCTTTTGAATTTTCAAAAGTTTTCTTGGTTTTTGCGTTTTATTCGGGTATTGATTTTTTGGATTTTCAGAAATTTTCTTGGTTTTTGCGTTTTTTGAATTTTTGAATTTTCAGAAATTTTCTTGGTTTTTGCGCTTTTGAATTTTCAAAAGTTTTCTTGGTTTTTGCGTTTTATTCGGGTATTGATTTTTTGGATTTTCAGAAATTTTCTTGGTTTTTGCGTTTTTTGAATTTTTGAATTTTCAGTTTGTTTCTTGGTTTTTGCGTTTTTTTGCGGTTTTTGAATTTTTGAATTTCGAGATTCTTTCTTGGTTTTTGCGTTTTTTGCGGGTTTTGAATTTTTGAATTTTCAGATTGTTTCTTGGTTTTTGCGTTTTTTGCGGTTTTTGAATTTTCAGATTTTTTCTTGGTTTTTGCGTTTTTTGCGTTTTTTGAATTTTTCAATTTTTGAATTTACAGATTTTCTTTTGGTTTTTGCGTTTTTTGCGGTTTTTGAATTTTTGAATTTTTGAATTTTCTTTTGGTTTTTGCGTT